GGCTATTGTTTCTCCAAATATTTGTTCTATCCCCCTCTTTTTTCATCTCCTTCTATGACTCCCGTTACATAAATCGTAGGACACTCGATTCTGTTCTCTATGGCTCTGAAGCTTTGTTCATTTTCCTTCAATCCTCTTTCTCCCTTTCTTCAGGTTAGATAATTTATATAAATCATTATTCAAATGCACTGATTCTTTTTCTTCTGCCATCTCAAATGCGCTTTTGAGAATCTCTAATGAGTTTTTCATTTTTGTTACTGACTTTTTGACTCTGGAATAACTGGTTCATGTTATAGTTTTCTATTTCTCCACAAAGAGTCCCTGTTTATTGAGTCATTATCATCATATCTTTTGAACATACTTATAATACTGCTTTGAAGTCCATTATATCCAATGTAGTGTCTACTCAAAGTCAGTTTCAGTTAACTGCTTTTTTCCTGAATATTTATCACACTCTCCTGTTCCCTTCATTTGTCATCATTTTTTACTAAAAACTAGACATAAAAAAAAACATAATGTGAAACTCTAGATTCTCTGGGGTTTTTTAAACATTTATCGTTTTTTTGTTTTTAATTTTAGTAACTTACCAGTACTTAAACTTAAATTACAGTATGCTTTCTTTGCAGTATGTGACCATTAATATCTCTGTTCAGCTTTTTATTATAATTCTTATATCTTTAGTTTGGCTTCTAAGGAGTTGTTCCTTCATTAACCAAGTCCCTGTCCCTTGGCAACCCACCAATAAATCTGGCAAAAGTTGTGCTCAAATACGTCAAGCCCATTAGGCTTTCATCCTCTGCACATAGCTGCCTATGTGGAGGTTAGGAACTACATTCAAAGTTGCAGACAGTCATACAGTCTCCCTCAGCTTTTACTTTTCACTAGACTCTCTGAGGTCTCCCCAGCTCATGTGCATCAGCATGGGATGTGTAGAGAACTTATCTCAGCTATTTTGTGACCTTTTAATTCGTAGAACCTCCATGTTAAATACCTGTCTAGTCTACCACTCACTCCAAATGGGACTGCAAACCCAAGTTAAACAAGCTTCAGTTTTTCTCTTTTTGTTACCTTCCAAGTTTGTCTCTGTTAGCTGACAAAGTGAAGGATTTTCATGCTCAGGTCTAATGTAAGTGCCCCTTCTGGAAGGGGCAGTCCACTGATGTTTTCTGCAGCCAGCTCCAGGATTGTGACACTGCCTTTCTCCCCAACCAAGCTAGGGAAGGAAATGGAAAAATCCCTCGGCAAGAAGGCTAGACTCCTGTTCTCACTGAAACTCCAGTGGTTTCTTAAGAAATGCTTCTTAATTAAATGTTTGCCCCTGGTCAATTTCCAGGGCCCTGAAATTGTGACTTTTAATACATTGGCTCAAATTTATGCACATCTTTTCTCATGGACCTGTTCATGCCCCCACAGCAAGAAGTCCCTCATTCCTCTCCACCCCCATTTTTGATACCTATATTGTGTCTATATTCCAAAATATATATTCATTACCACTCTCTTCCTTATACCGATGACTGTCTGAAGTATTCTGTTGGAGAATCCTCAGGAAATGTTCGTAGGAACAATATTCCCTGTTTTCTTGCATGACTCTAAAGGTTTCGTATAGTCTTTATAGTAAAAGGTTAACTGTGCTGAATATAAAATCTTCAGCTTATGTTTTCTTTCCTTGAATATATTATATATGTCACTACATTATTTTCTGGTATAAAGAGTTGATGTCAAAAAGCTACTAATTAACAACCTGATTTTCTTGCCTATAACTTTGTTTAATACTGTTATACAAATATTCTATATGTGCATTCTGAACCAATTTCCCTACTTTTGCAGTATAATCCTTTAATATGTATTTTCTAGTCTTTTAGTTTAAGAAATTATACTTGAATTACAGTTTTTAGTATTTTTATCAGTGTCTCTATTATATGTATTTTTTATCTTCTTTGCCTATCACTTTGAATCTGTTTTGTCTTTTTCATTTATTTTAAATTCATTATTTATTAACTTATTTTATTTTATAATTTCCATAATTCTATTTTTAATTTCTTTTAATACATGAACTTTTGTGTTAATATGTCCTTGTTTTTGTTTTGTTCTAGCTTGCTTTTAATTTTTGAAATTATTTTCAAAAATGATTACTTCCAACTCTTTCCTTAATTCTTTCACCTACCTTTTGTAAACTTTCTTCTCTCCAATGGACTCATTTATCACTCTTTCTAAAAATTTTCATGCCTTGTATCTTTGTCTTTATTTCTTTTAGCTCCTTTTGAATTATTAGGCTACAGTTATTTATTTTGAAGTGAGATTTTTCTAATATGCAGTCCTTACTGTGGTAATGTTATTTTGTTCTCTATTCTTTTTTTCTTATAATATCTTTATATGTGATTCTACCCCATTCCTTTTCTATTGCTCATGTTTAAGTTAAATGCATTTTGATTTTTATCATGGGCCAGGCTAGCTTTCCTAGAGTCTGCAGTGTCTGTAGAGCCCCCTTTTCTGTTATTGTAAAGTTAAGTAATATTGCATTGTACTTCCTAAGATATACTTCCTTTCCTCCTATCCCTCACTTTGATCTAAACTGCCTCGTTTCTTCTTCCTACTGGACGTGTCCTATTTACTTTGGATCCTACTCCCAGGGGCTTCCTCTCCGTGTGGGATTTGTCTGAAAATCCCCCTCTTCTCCAGCTCTGATAAGTCCTTTTTGTCCCTTGAAGACACTTGTAACTTGGTGCCTGCAAACTCCTTTCTCCCTTGCTGCTGCTATTCCACATTAGTCTGCCTGTTATTCCAGTGATCACTTATTTTTTTTTTGGTGAGAGTTCTGTAGTTCTAAGGGCCATCAGAAGTCAATTTTCCTGTATCTTTCTGCACAGTTGCTGCTGGCACAGTGGTCTAATGGTTTGTCCCACCTGTTAATGAAGATATGTTGTTGTTTAGTGCTCCTATAGATATTGCTTATGTGTTTTCAGTTTGCTACTGTAATTACTTTGTGTTTTTGAGGGAGTTTCAGAGATATTCAAAAAATTATGTCACTTGTATTGCCAGCTTCCCAGAATCTGGATAAGCTTTACCAAAATTTAATACCTATGTATTTGGATAATGTACATTAAAATATAAATTAACACATCAAGTTTATTTAATGAATGTCATAAATATTAGTGCCTAGATCAGTCTCTGTTTAAAATAAATTTATGTAAATAAAACCACAATAATTTCAAAAATAAAATTAAATAGTGATGGTGGTATGCAATTAGGGGAAAAATTTGTGATGTAGTATACAAATAATTCCATTCGAAAGTACTATCATAGCTAAATCCCTTTAACCATAAAGGACAGGGATTTTTTTTTAATTTATGGGGTTGTAGTAATATTTGGAAGTAGCAATGGAGAGTGAGAAAGGCACTGAGCCCATCTTCTGATCTTGAGGAAATAAGGGTACAAGAAAATAGACAACCATTATCTGAGAATGATGCAGGGAAGATGTAACAGAAGCCTGGTCTCAATTAAGGAAGGGTGGAGAAAAGAGTGATAAATAAAGTGGTAGCTGATATTGATGAAAGATGAAAATATACAAAGTTGTAAAGGCTTAATATAACATTGTCAAACTTGAAAAATATTCTAGTAAAAAAAATAAGCTTTTGATAGTAATGAGAATGTTCATACCCCATTACCCATTAATTATACTTCTGGGAATTTATCTCAAGTAGCTGAATGGTCAGAAAAAAGTTACTAGCATATGTCGATCCTTGTTATATAGGTTTTAATAGTTTAAATAAAGTAAAAACACAAGTTGAAAGAACACATGATTTAATAATTGTAAATGACTAAACAAATGATGATATGTATATATGATGGAATGACATAAAATCTGTAAAACTTCCAACCACAAATAATTTAAGAATCATGCAGCATTTTAACTGAAACTATAGGTAACATTTGTTAGTAAATAGGATTGCAAAGTATGAGAAAACACCTGCTTACAGACAAGAAAAAATAGGAAAGATTTTCAGGATATTAGGATGATAGAATTGTTTTCATCTGTAAATTATTCTTTGATATTATTAAAGTTTACTCACAAATCTATGTATGTGTTTGTAACTTTACCAAAAACAGAGACTATAAAACAGATATTTACCTTGTATCTGAAATGAAAATAATTCATTAACAATGCTGCCTCAGAGTTTCCATATGTATCTTCCTGTATCATTCCTCCTTTGGAGAAATACTCATAAACTCTAAAAAGACAATTAGATACGAAGACAGTAAAAAGATCAGCAGGTGCCAGGAGTTTGGTTGGAGGGAAGGATGCATGGGGGGGCACAGAGGATTTTCATAGCAATAAAACTATTCTTTTTGATACTACAACAGTGGCTCTATATCATTGTATATTTGTGGAAACCCAAAGAATGTGCAATAGCAAGAATGAACCCTAATGCAAGTAAACTGTGGACTTTGGTGATAATGGTATGTCAGTGTAGGTCTATTGTTGCAACAACTGCTCCATTGAGGTGAGGGATGTTTATAGTGTGAGAGGCGGTGCATGTTTGGGGCTAGAGGGATATAAGGAAATTCTGTGCTTTCCACCCAATTTTGCTGTGAACCTAAAACTTCTCTATAAAAAACTGTCCATTACAATTTTTCAAAAGACAATTAGAAGCTGAGTTATAAAGTTTTATACTCTATCTGATCAAGGTGATATGATCTGAAGCCTAGGGCTCCAGTTTGGAGCTAAAACAGGGGAACATGCCAAATTGTGAACTGGCTTCTGTTAGGGTCATTTCCCTTGGAGTTTTCAGTGGTAAGCAACTCCCTGGGCTTCCTGATGCCTCTGTTTTGCCATTTATATAATGAGGACTGTAAGGGGCAGGCTGCATCTTCATAGGTGTACCGTCAGGATAGATGCAACTCTAAACTAAAGCTGTTCTCGTTCCTTTCACAAAATGCACTTTATAAACCAATCCCAGATTCATGTCTTTTCCACGTTGTGTTTTGTTATAGTTACATAGGATGAATGGAGAAGCAACCACACAATAGAAACAGAGATAAACAAGACTCTGGAAAGTTCATGCATTCAAATACTTCCTCAGAAATTTCATCCGAGCTCACCTTTGCATGGTTGGCCCTTTTCAGTGAATAACTGCAATGATCTTTAAATATTAATGACTAAAAACGAATGGCAAGTAATAATAGGGAAAGACACAAACTGTATGAAAAGCAGGCATTATGTGGAAGGTTAGGGGATGGCCGGGGAGGACCCTGGGATTCCTTATAAGTCAGCAAGCCTCCAGATCTATGAGTTAGTAATTTAGAAATTAGTTCCTAAACTAAAGGTTAGTTTCTATTTCAAACTATACACCAAACCATGATTGATTACAGAGAGAAGGGATGGTGCCATAGAGATCAGCCACATCCAGCAAAAACCCCTAATCACAAATATTTATTTTATAAGCAACATATACAAAGGGACAAAACCCTCTTTCCCCAGTATCCTTAATGCCATATCCTGGGAAATATAGGCAGAAAATGTGCATGGGAGAAGCAGGAACTGTAGAGGCAGGTGCTCAGTTCCATTTCAGCCACAGGTGGTGGAAGGCCCATACTTGCCATGTTTCCTGACTTTTTTTAAAAAGGCAGAAATCTGGATTCTGAATTCTTATGAGAAATTTTCAAGGGCAAGCCAACCAAATGACAGTCAGCTACTAAACAATATATATATAGTAGACATCTAGTATTATATTGTTAAATCAGTTTATAACACAATTATAAAGAAAACCATTAAATAACAATTTCAAGACTTACATAATAGTGTTCATTTAGATGATCCATAATATGATTATATTAATTTTAAGATTGTCATCAAAATGGAAACATAAGATTTAAAAATTCTTATAGAATCCTTAAGTTTCCATGAATGTAGAGGCTGATACAGTTTGCAAAATACTGTCTTTGCATGGCTGATCATTCATAATACAAGTTACAAGTTACGTACATTTTCATGGACTGCCTTGGAAAGTAAATCGTTCATATAGAAATATTTCTCCAAGGATGTCCTAAATCCAAAATAACTGACTTGCAAGAGGCTTTCAAATTCGACCAGCTAATAAATTTTCACTGTCTAGATATTGTTTGGATAGTCTATAAGATGAAAAGAAAAAAATCACTCTAAAATATCCCTTCTCATACTGTTATAAAATATGCAATGCCTCTTTGTCAAATGCCAAGAAACACTTTTTCCTCCCTTTATAGGATTGGGTTTACAAGATATAAGGCTTCCTGACTATCATTACAGCTATTATTAGTACATATCAATTATTCTTAACAAACGTGATGCAATATGGTTCAGATGTTGGGAAGAAATTTGGTTTGGATACACAGGGAACTCAGAGAGAAAAATAAGGAAGGAATTTATTAAAGCGAAAGTAGCCAGGAATGGCAGCTGCCTTGCAGACAGCAGAGAGCAAGGAAGAGCAAGGAGCAGAAAAGGAAGCTCATTGAACTCTTTCTTCACATTGGTCATCTCCCTTGCCAACCCAAAGCCAGGGTCACTTGGCGTCCAGTGTCCACTTGAATCTGCAGGGCATGGAAACTAAGTTCCTACCACCCCAGGACTGGAAGAGCGACAGAGCAATGGATAGAGTGAGATTATGTTCTGAGAACTTCCCAAAGGCAAACAAAGGAGATTTTCAGGCAGGCTACTAAGGAGCATGATGGTACAGCTGCAGTCCTGTCTGGGTCACCCAGGTGACAGGAACTTACAGGCCCAAATTAGAGTTCTCAGTAGCCCCTCCCTACTTATCTGGAATAGAGCAGAGATAGTAACACACTCAAAGAAAGGGGAGTGTGGCCAACATCAGAGAGGAGGCGCACTTAAAGGTTTAGGGTCTGGGGTTTTATAGGGCTTTTTGGGTAAGGGTCAGCGTAAAGCACGTTGTATGCAGATGATTTATAATTACATTGAAGTTTTGTCGTAACAATAAGAGTATTTAGGTGACTGTTGGTCCAGATCTCGGCATTCTTTGGAGGTCTATCTCCTGTCCTGATTACAAACTGACTTCATTAAGAGGCTGGAAGAAGAGGAAGAACAGTGTATAGATTAAGTTAAAGAGTAAACTGGGCTTTTTTCACAGACTAAGTAGATTTTGCAGTGGCATGACCCTTGTTCCATTTCCCTGCCCTACCTAGGACAGAGAAGTCCCTGGAGAATTGTTTTTCATCTGGGAATACCTGGACATTCCAAGTCACTCCTAACCTTTGAAACTTCAGCTAATTAACTCTGTGAGTCCTTTCTGGCTCTCTGGGTTTATCTGCTTAACTCTCTGAATCTCTTTTCCTGGGCTCCACTGGCCTTATTCTCCCTGCTCATGTCTGTCTTTCTGCCTAACAGTAATGTCAACCTTGAAAGTAAAACAACCAGTTATTTTGTCATCGAGATGGGTTTATTTGGAAATAGCAGAGGAATTATAATATGGGACATGCAAGCTATGGCAAGCCATAAGCAAGTCTGGAGAGAAACATTATTTAATAGAGAAAAGGAGGAAGCTGAGAGGGGCTGCTGTGTAGGATAGCCCATTGGAGGAATGTGAGAGCTCAGGGTGCTGGCAGTTTCTCATTGGCTGAGTTGTGGTAGGTTTTACTGGCTGAGATTGTAGGCTGGGCAAGGAGGCAGGGTGCATCCTTTCCTGTTGAGTGTGCAATTGATGGAGTGGTAGGGTGTGAGAGCTCCCCCTTCTGGCCTTCTGACTCCATTTTAAATGAGGTTTCCTTAGTTTCACTTCAGAATAGAGTTAAAAAGTGGAGATGACCTCAAGACTACAAAAACCTGCTATAATAAACATTACAGTAATGGAAATGCATTAGTTACACCTTGCTTACACTATTAATTTTTTCCACCAATGGACAAAAGTTTCCACCCTAATGATCACAAGCTCACTATCAATGGGAATAATAAAATTGAATAATAATAAAGTTTAATAAAGCTTTACTGTAGTGATATTTGCTGACCCACGGTGTTTTTATCTTTTCTCAAAGATGGGTAATCTGTTCTCTGAACAAATCTAAAGCCTTCAGTTAACCTGTATCTTTTCTGTGACTGAGATTCTCCAGGGCAGAAAGCTTCATCACTCATTTCAAACATTCCTGGCATCTAGTATTGTGCCTAGAGCACAGGCACTCAATAAATATTTAATAAATAATTGAATGGATCTGTTTCTCTTTGTCCTGTTTCCCTGACAGTACTATTCATGGGCCTCATGTTAAATTGATAATCACTGAATTCATGCTGGCTGTTGAGTTGGTTAATGAGCAGCTCATTATGTATCAATGACTGGATAACTGATAAGGCATCTTCCGGAGAGTAGTTTTCCTCAAAGAAGCTAAGGCTATTTAGACATTATCTCTGGATCAAGCCAGGACATTTAAGATAAATGAGGGACAGGGAGAATGTACCTAAGGTCACACAGTGAAACAATGAGTCCTAAACTTCTACTGGAACCTCAAGCCAACTTGAGGAATCTTTTTGAAAGAAACCTCTCTTCAAACAGAACCTTGTATTGGCTGATTAAATTCCTACTGTGCATTCCCTTTTTAAATGTTAAAATATTATTTCTTCCTCTGATTTATATCCGTGCTACACACAAGTCTGGTACAAAATCATGTGATAACTTTATATAAGGAAATAAACTTCAGGTCTTCATGTCATGACTCTTATAGGTCTGCAGAGGACATAAGTATTCCCTCAATCCATATTTTAGTTGTTAAATCTCTTGTTAAATTAGCAATAATAATGATAATGCTAAGCCAGTTGTTCTTACAAACATTTTTTCATGTGGGTTTTAGAAAAAGGTTAAAAAGTAGAGATGGTGGAGATGAGCTCAGGAGTAAGAAACCTGGTATATTGAACTCGATAATTCTGGAAAGCTGCGGAGTGCTTCCACTTCAAGTACAACATTAAACCCTGGAAACAATTCTACAAACTACACAAATTTTATTCTAGGGCATTGGAAAACAAAAGTCATGCCTTTCTGTATGTAGAATTCTAAAAAACTGAATTAACTCAGTTATAACCCTCATGGGAAAGGTCAGTCATTGTAAAAAAATTATTTGCTATATGTACCTGATCCCACGTGTTGGCCATGTTAACTGTGTTTCTTGAGCATATCCTTTGCATTTGAGGAAGTTACATTCCAGGATGGTGACTACATTGAAGCAGATAGTCATGTGCAAAGAGTGTATTCAATGTTGACCTACCATGAGAGGTAACTAAGTAAACACAAAGGTTTAACTGCTCAATGAACACTGAGGGTCTCTGAAAAATACATTCTAATATTCTGTTTTCATTCCAAACTATCATCCTGTTTTTCCACAGTATAAATTTCAGTTCTGTCCAACATGTGAATCTGTTTTGAGTACTAGCTCCTATAGGGATCAAAACTATACTGGACATATTTCTACCATGAAATACAACTTTAATAAAAATGTAAAAAATGGCAGTGTAGAGGGAAAAGAGTTTGATTCTGACTAAATGAACATGGAAAAAGCTTCTTAGGTTGTTTCAACTAGCTAAGTTAAGAATAGTTGTCCAGAAAACAACAGACATGTATTACACCAAGACCCTGGGACCCGTGAGTACCAGCTGGGAGTGGGGATGAGGAGAGTCAAGAGAATGTTTGTTCCCAAAATTCACAGATAAGGAGCAACCCATGCTTTTTCTTTCCAAAGTCATGAAAGGAAGGAGAAGAATATATCAGAGATTCAAACAATTCAATATTAGTGATAGAGGCATATAACTAAAACCTAGATGTTTACAGTTCCTAAATTTCTTTAAATTTTATCTATAAAAGTATCTTTTCAATATATTCTTCTGTAATACCTGTAGTGTTTTATATTTAAATAAATAACAAAATGGTACTATAAATGATGTTGGTTTCCCATGCCTATGGGGAGTCAAGCTGTCCAGAAAACAAAATTGTTACCTTCTACCTGATGGCAGTTGACCCTAATTGTCTTCATCATAATCAAAAATAAAGTGTTCAGCCAACCCACAAAGTGTTGAAAAGCAGTTGTGATGATTGGAAAAATTCTGGTGCTCTGCAAAATGGGCATGGAGAGTTTTGCAAGCAGCCTGCTTTGACAGCAATGACTGGATGGAGCATAAATGGAGGAAATGTGAAGATAGGAAGCAGTTTGGAGATAAAGAAGTAGCAATCAATACAGTTCACAGAATTTATTGAAGGTGCTCCTTACTCTCAACACCTGCCATGTGCTGTGGTCAACACAGCCAGCTCTGACTTGGAGCTCAGGGTAGCCCAGGGATGAGATAATGTCACTAAATCAAATAGTACCAAAGTCTGTTTTCTGCACTGAAAGTTCTGGTTCAAATACAAAAATGGGAAAGCTTCCACATATAATTTCCAAGTTTGTCAGGTCATTGAAGGACATATAGGAGAGGTGTCCAGGATACAGTATCATCTCACTCAGCCTCACCATGCTAATCATTTTATCCAATGCCTGTATATAATTTAAAAATGCATTTATTTATCTTCTATGGGTCCTGATTTTCTGTTTGTTTTAATTGTGAATTTAATCTTCTCCTCAAAAAGACTGTAAGAAGAAAAGGCAAGGACTGTTTATTCTTCTACTGTTGTGAGGCTGTATAAAGGAAAAGCATTGATTTAACAGCATGATTCTGGAAGGAAATTGTTGTTTTCAGATCCTGAGTCTACCATTTACTAGCTCTGTGATTGGGGTGGGGGGCAAAATTTAAGGGACCACCAAAAACCTCAGTAATTAAGGTATATATTTTAATAACACATTTTTAAAATTCAAAATCTAGGGAAAAATCCATGATGAACAAAATGTCAACATTTTAAATAAAAGCAGGCTGTTACTTGTTTGTTCTGAGACCCTGCTATGTTATTCTGGCCAGTATTTCCTAATCAGCCTCTGGGTCCTTGATCTTCTGTCATTGTGTCCCTCATGAACACATGTATAAGGGTTGACAGAGGAAAACAGGTTGAGCAATGCACAACTTTATGTTACCATTTTTTAAAATTTAAATATATAATTTTCAATTAACTTTTACTACATGGTCAAAATATGGGAGAATATTTTGATAAGTACATTCAGGAGCACAGATTTTTCTTTTCATCTCAAAATTCAATATGTCCTTGGGCATGTTGCCTGAACTGCATTTAAGTTCGCTCATCTGTAAAAGGGGTTCATTATAGTACTGACCTTATGGCATTGTGGTGAGTTGGAAATAAGTTGAGACTATTAAATAACTTACTATGCTTCATATCTATACTCAGTACCTATTAAAAAATATAAGTAAACACATAAAAATAATCTTGAGAGGGTCTATTTTATGACTTTCCATAATTCTTCATTTTAGCCTTGCAGAGAGTGAATACTCATGAAATAGCAGGTTGATCATCTGCTAGGCTGGAGGACAGTGAGTTTTTATTAACTGAACATCTGTTGAATGTCAGGCCTGGTTTAGGTGTATCACATCCCTTAGATAGTTCAGCCAACATTCCCCATTAAATCACAAAGATCTGTGAAGTTTTAGAAATACTTAATATTTTTTAAAGTTGCCAGGATTCTTTTCATTGAAGAGCAAGAATAAAAACTCTATACAAGACCTACTAGTCTGTTTCCTGCAGACCAGGTTACTTAAGACCAATATTGCCAGGTAGGAGTTGAGGTACGCTCTACGACCCCTAATCACCAAAGCTGGGTCCCCATATCATAAAAAGGACCCTTTCAATCAATAAACTGCCCACACCTCTATCATCTACAACTTACATGAGGGTCTCTGGCTTCTTGGAATTTCTTTTTAATTTTTCATTCCATGCAGTGCAGAAAGCTTTTTAAATTTGTTTTGTGATGGTTTGGATTTTCCTAGTATGTGTTGTATCTGAGGTTTATTTGCCCCTGGTTCTGGGCACCCCTTCCTTTTTGTGCTGTGACTTATACACCTTCTTACATAGTTTGGCCTTTCAGCAAGTTACTTAACCTCAGTTTATTCCAGATTACCATAAGGAGTAAGTAAGGTAAGACCTTGAACAATGCCTCCAACATAGTAGGTGGTAAGTAAATTTAAGCTATGACTAATAAAAATATAAATTGTTAGGAGTGGGCATAATATAATATTAGTATTGTTTTTCCCTGTCCCAGCTCTAGGCATTTCATCGTTTGCATGGGCTGGTTTATTTCCACCTCACCTTCTGTTGTTTGCTGTGTGAAGGCAGCCAGTCATGTGCATCTTCCTGCCCTGGCCCCCTTTATAACTGGGACTGTAGGCCATACAACAAACAGTCAAGCACCCAGGGGAAAAAAGCCAACTTTGCATAAATTTGAGGTTTTTTGTATATCTTTTCCCCATCAAATAAACCACCCTGGCCAGCCACACAAGCTGCACGATAAAGGAAAGAGCAGTTTGTCTCACCAGTCTCCAGCCTCAGCCTCTCACTGACTGCCCTTCTTCCTACAACAAAGTGACAGATCAGATGGAAATGGTTCCAAATGGGGAATCATTTCCTGCGTGACCAAGAAGCATTTTGAACACCAAGTTCTGCACAAAAATAGTCTCTGTTCATAAGAGCTGTAAAACTTAGCTTGCCATGCGGAAGACCCTGCAGGGGGAGCCTGCTTCCTTAATTATTGGCCTCCAGACCAGCTGCCACTGTGTAAAATACCTTCCCCTTTGTTCTGCTGCCACTACCCAGTACTTAGGGCTCCTCTGGGGGCCCTTGTCTCCAGAATATAAACTCTCTCCCTTTTATTTTCTGTGCCCTTCTTCATTAGGAAGACAGCAGCACAGACTCAGAGGTCCTTCTGTGGGCATAGAGCTGCATACATTGCTTTAGCAGGAAGTCTTGAGCGGGGTATGATTCTTGGCAAGCAGTATGATCTATGTATCTGTATGTCACACTGATGCCAGTCCTCACCAAATTCACCTAAAGAAGTGTGTCTTACATGAGTTTCTACTAAATATATTCTGGAAAGATCTATTTACTATTTAGGAATTTGGTCTTTCCAGGCTATACTTGAGTTCCCTCATTCACCTGGCTCCTATGTCTTCTACTCTGAATGTCTTTTTTTTTACAGATCTAAACCAGAGATTCAAAATCACAGATCTTTGTTTTCATTATTTCATGACTTCTTCCCACAAATGACCCATGTGTTGTTTAGAGTTAGACCGGTGGTTCTCAGCCCTGGCCGCCCTGAGGACTGACTGGGAGTCTTTGGGGGAGAAGCTCGTGCATCAGAGTATTTTCAAGCAACTCACTTGACAATATTGCATTATCCTAAAGAGGTATGAGAACACAGCTCTTCTTCTACCTTTGTGTCCCTCAGAAGTCCCCTCCTCTGTGGGCCTTAGTCATCACATTGACTGACATTGGCCAGTACTGTGACACCCCAAATTCTGGGTGGGGCAAGAATAATGGTGCTTTTCTTCACAGACCCAAGAAACTTTATGGAGTAGAGCAGCCATAAATCCAAGCCATGGGTCCTGGATCTTCTGTCATTCTGTCCCTCATGGGCACATGTATAATGGTTGACAGAGGAAAACAGGTTAGGCAATGCACACCTTTATGTTACCATACAACAACTGTATGTTACCGTACAAGAAAAATGATCTCCAAAATTCAGATTAGCATTCGCAGCCTACTCTTCCCGTGTCCTCTTCGTAAGCAGCACAGATACAGAAGTAAGGGCAGGAGGCCAAGATGACCACCGGGCTGAGGGAAGGAGGCGCCCAGGAGAAGGAGTTTCGGGAGATGCTCACCCTCAGACAGCCACCCTGCATGTACAGGACCCTGAAACTTTGTACCCTATGAGCGAGCCCCTTCACCTCATCCTTGTCCTGGCTCCAAGGGGAGCCAAAGGGAGACCTTTTCTAAAGGAATGCTTGGGAAGAGAGGGTGACTGCCATCATCCAGGTTAGGTGAGGATCTAATAAGCAAAACTAATTCAGCCTTCTCAGCACATCTTAGCACTGTGATTATGATCCTCCATGAGCCCCCAGTACTGGGCCCTCCAAATCCCACCCTAGATATGCAGCTTATGGAAGGTTATGAACAGAAAGTTCTAGACAGAAGAACATCAAGTTTCTGTTCGTGTTAGGAGAAGGTGACAGTTTTTAACTGAAAGTCAAGTGTAATGATCTTTTCTCTAGACACATACAAAATAACTCTTAATTTCAATTCTTCATTCATCATCTCGCTTTTTACAAGATACAAATGAATTACTGCATGTGGAGCATCTAGTCCAGAGCTGGCATAATTGAGTGTCTAGTGACTGCTAACTATTTGTCCCAGCAGGAGGATAATGGAACTGAGGAAACACTTATGAGCCAAGTTCACTCCATCAACAATTCCATATTATTCAAGGACAGAGTCCAGCTGTGTACAAACGGTGGCCTCTCCCTCTCTCTCCAGTCCAGATCCACAGTGATGACCCCAAGTTCTCTCGCCATGTCAGGGTTGGCTCAGACAAAACCTCAAATGGCTCCACCACGGTCAAGGTTTCCGGTAAGAGCTTCTGTTCTCTGGCCTCCTTGCCGTCCTCCTGTGAATCTCTCCTGCCTTGCTATTGCCTAGACAGGAAGCGCCTGTTAGTGGAGAGCAGCCGAGCAAGGCCAGCCATCTGGAGTTCTATCTCCCTGATCACTTCTCTTCATGTTGGGGGTGAGGGCAAGGCAGGAAGCTAAAGAATGATGCTTCAGGTGACGGAATAAAATCATACAGAAGGCCAGAGGTTGGTCAATCTCTGGTGACCAACCAGAGATTGGTGTAAATAAGGTGACCGCTACCTTATTTACAACTTTAAAGTTTCCTAAGAATACTGGAAACGTCTTTAATTATAACTTGCCAAAGTCTAATTACTTAGTTCTCTAATTGTGTGAGTCGCTTGCTGCTGCAAAGCAGAATAAGGCCAGCGTGAGGAAAGGACAGTGATAGACTCAGCTTCTGAGAAACCGTAGGAGTCTCCCCACGGCCACCGAGGCCAGGCCCACCAGCAAAGGAGCCTGCATTCCCAGGAGGGTGGGGCCAAGCTGCAGTTTCCACTGTGGCCTGCCTCAGCTTGCAGAGGCTCTGCAGGGTACAAATTTCAGGGAAATATAAAAATTCTATTTTATTCAGTGATGCAAGGAAATAGTCATAAACAGAAACCCCTTGCTTTGGATATTTTTTCATCTTCATGACCAAGAACTGTGTGTTTTTTTAAATGTCATTTTCAAAGGGAGGCAAAGAGAATAGCAGTAATGTGGATGAGCAATTGATGTCTGAAAATGAAGTAAGCAAAGAGAAACTGCCAACACAAAACCTAAGGGCATGGCCTGCGGGATTTTTCCTCAGTTCTCTGAATGGCAGGACAAGTGAAAAATCTGTGCTTTTACTTAAAATCTTACTGCACTAGTAGAAGTCGCACACTTCAGTATCTTGAAGGAAACACAATGCTGTAGTTCATAAAGATAGGAGTAGTTACAGCCACGATTTAATAGCTTGAAGTCTCTGGTTTATAGCTTTTCCCGGGTCTCTCTGGGGCTGTCCCTCTCTTCGTCCTGCCCTCTCTCCCCTTCTCCCTCGCTTCTTCCTGTCCCCCTCTGCATCTCTCCTCTGGGATCCCCTAGGAAATCAGTCACCCTGGTGGTCAGGTTCCTTGTGGAGCTAAACATCAATGTCCTGGGAAGAGTCAGAAGACTGTTCATCTCTTTTATTGATGTCGCCATATACTCACCTTCTAGGGTGTGACCGTCTAGCACAAACCTGAAGCTGACCTGTATGGCCTGACTGTCGGCTAATCGATGAAGGCAGTCAGCCAGGATGTGAAAGGATACATTGATTCTACGCTAGGCAAACTGTTTCCCCTTTTGACCATGGGTTTTTGCACCATAACTCAATCTAGTCGCCCTGTTAACATTTGAACCAGGTTCTGTATCTCTTTGCTGCATCACCTTAGTCTTGAATACTTTTCACTCTTCTATGTCTCCCTCTTACCACCCTCTCCATCTCTGTATTGCTGTTTCCACATTTCTCTTTGCTTCTTCCTTGAACTCCTTCCAGTGGATGCTTACAAGTTAGAGACTCTGCCTGCTTCTTCATACAATTAGATTTTCCTGGCTTCCTGGCTTTCCCCTTCAGGAAATAGACCAGCTGGGCTGTGTTGGACAGTCTCATTCAGTCTTCAACCTATTTGTGGGTGCCACCGAGGTGTATATTATAGTGGCCCCAATGGAGAAGTATAATGCACATCTTATTCAGAACCCCCTTTACATCCCTTGGATCGGTCAAATAGAATAACCCAAAAATAAAAACATGAAAACCTTGAAACAAATACCCAAGTATACTGCAGACCCATGCTATGTCCTCAGAGTCCAGCTGACCTCCCCTTCCACAGTGCCTTCTCTAACAGACCGGGGGCCAGAGGCTTCCCAGCTCCTTGGCCTCTTCCTGCAGCCTCCTCACAGTCTCCTGTGATGCGACTTTCCTTAGCACGGAGTCACCTGCCCTCACAAGTTTGCTCTCTCCCACTCCAAAGCTATAAACTCTAACGTTTTGTGCCTCAAAGAGGATCTGTCTATCAACCTTGTGAATTTTAGTAATTGTTTTTCTTTCAAGTCTTCATTCTACTCCATTGTTAATAGAGGCCCGAAGCACCCCTCCTCCCATCAGTGCTTTAGGGTTGTATGTTGATTTGGGTTCCCCTGAAACAAAACATTGAGACAAGGATTTGAGTTAAATTAATGCATTTGAGAGGTAATTTTGAGAAACATCAGAGTGGGAAAATAAGTTAGAAAGGGAAGGAAGAAAACAAAATATACATGATCACGCCAGTTTTTACTGGTGGTTTGGAGCTCATTCCCACTAGGAGACCCTGGAGAACACCCATCAGAGCCATCCCAAGTGAAGCGGGAGGACTGGGGTGTTACCCACCAACTCCTCCTCTATCGTTGCCAGTTATTCTCTGGGACTTCTAGTTTGCCCAACTGGTGGACTGACTGTGTTCCCATAAGCCCAATAAATCCTTACGAGAGTCAGATATACACCCAGGGAGAGGCCTTCGGGAAGTAGAGGTAAATGCTTGGTGGATCTAGCAGACGCCGAAAACAGCTGTGACAGGGTCTTAATATTTTCTCCACTGGTTCATAGCCAGCTGTGTTTGCTGTGCTCAAGAACTTATTTGAAGCCACTTTGCTTCAACACAATGTGTTGGACACTGTTCAGTGCTAGAGATGGAAAGAGATGACTAAAATAGTATGAAAAGGGCACTTGCAGTCCAGTCTGAAATAGTTTCTGTTATTTTCTAGTATCTGTATTTTCCATGAAAATGTAAATTTCTTGAGCGCAGGGAAGAAGACTTGTCCACCTTTGCTTCCTCTGCATCTAGTGTCCTACCAGGCACACAGTGGGTGTTTAATAAACATTTGATGAGTGATGAACCTTACACACACACACACACACACACACACAAACACAGACACACTAGTGGCCAGGTAGATAGAATGGCATTCAGTGCCACTAACTGTGTTTGATTTGCCTTCAAGCTAAGTCAGAAAGCTCCATGATTGTGGAAAATAACTCCGTGAATGTCTTAGAAAAGGTGAGTCACATTAAAGCCTTTGAAATCTTTTTATAATATGCCAAGGTGTGTCAGGAAGTTGGATCGTTGTCCAGAAAATTTTCCCAAACCTTACTCCTTGGCCCTCAGCAATTCAATTTCCAGTGAGGAGGAAGGGAAGCTGAGTTGGTTCTGGAGACTGAATGGGAATCCTTATTTTCTGACACAGGGTTCTCAGAACATGTGTCAGTGATCCTTTGTCATTCAATTTCCTGGGAAAATAGTCTCAATGGTATAAATTTTTCTTCAATAAAAACTGAAGCATATAGCAAAGGAAAAGTAGGGCAGAAAGCAGTATAAATCCTGGTGTAAGAAAAGTTTTTACCCAGCTGACATTTAATTTGTTCTTATCCACTTCTTGTACCAGCTTTCCCATTGTTTTTATTTTGAAATAACAAGAAAAATGTTCCCTTCTGTACTTCTTCAGAACCTCAGCATCAGGGCTATTGCTTAGGCAGTAGGAGAAAAGGTAGCAGAAAAAAGAAAGTTGAGTAGGGCCCTCTGACTTCAATTTCCTGTAGGTAGTTCTCAGCGTCTTGTCCCTGGGATCTGGGCTCACTCGCCAGCTCTTCTTGCTGGCTGTGACCTTGGGCAAATTATTTCCCATCTTTGTAGTCGGTTTTCCCATCTACATGATGGGGGGGTACAAATATCTGTACATCATGGCTGTTTTTAAGAATTAAATGAAATCATGTATGAAAAGTTTTCCATATGCTGTGTGGCATATATTAAGTGCTTAATAGATATGATTGTTGCTACTTTGTTATTACTATCATGTGTATTAATCAGCAGTCTGGTGGCATTTTTACTTCATGTTTTTCAAAACTCCAAGTAAAATAAATATTCTCCTTCCTTCTTGAACATTTCCTGTCACAGAGGATGAGAGAAAACTATATTCATATTCTACTTTCTTCTAGTCCCAAGAACATTCAATAACTCAGGATTTCTGATTCTGCTGAATATCAGTCATTTAATTTGACATCTCAATACAAATCATAGCTCAGACTCTGTGGGATGGTTTTGGATGAGTGTATATATCCTCATCCAAGTATTTGTGTCTTTGTTGATTTTATGTATTTGTCTCTTAGATGAGTGTTATAGCAGCCATGAGTATATGGGAAAAGATTTTCAAGTTTTTGTTCCACCAAAATTAATTTCCAAATTTATGAGTGGCCTTCATTTCAATAGTTTAAACAAAACAATCTAGTGATACAATGTTTGGTAGGTGTTTTGTTTCTTATAATGATTTCTTATAGATTCTTGTTGCCCATCTTTACAGGTCTCAATCCAGGACTCAATCCAGATACAGAACCATAAAATTGGATCTAAGAATTGCAGTATTTTTAAAAAAGGAATTTGTCTTACATGTTATCAAATTTTTCTTCTGTACCCATGCTTGCCTGGGTACTGACTAGGAAAACCAGAGAATGCTCCTTCCTGGGGAATGAATGAATAATCTCTCACTAACTCTGCATAACCAGCTACAGGACACAGCTTGTCTGTGGATCTTTTAAGATCTTGCCAAACATTAGTAATTTCTCATTCTAATATTCTTATAGCCCCCATTGTATTTTAATAACTTACTAATTCTTCAAAGCCCTTTTACATGCTTTTATCATTTGTTGCTTCTAATGAGCCTCTGAAATAGGTAGCGCATCTGTCATTTTACAGATGAGAAATTGGGGTCTAAAAAGTCTAAACACCTGGCTGAGTCAATAATAAAGGGCAGAGCTGGGATGAGAATTTAGCATGCCTGCATCTAGACAGGATGGTGTAATGAGAGGAGATCGTGCTTCAGGGACAGAGAGAACTAATAATGTCCAATGCTAATTTGGCCAGTTACTAGTTACATATCCTCATCAAGTAGTTAATCTCCCTGAGTCTCAGCTACTCATCTCTAAAACTGGGATCATGATAAATATTTCACAGGGTTCTTAGGTGAATTAAATTTATGCACAGTAATGAAGTACATGGCACATAGTAGCTGTCTCAGGACTAGTTCTTTCTCCACACTACTTATCTTTCACCCACTCATCAGTTCCTTCCTCTTCATGTATATTCACAAATCCAAGACATGATTGAGTCCAAGAGACAGTATGGGGTAATGAGAAAACAGAACATAGATTGTGGAATCTGAGAAACCTGGATCTGAATTATCCTCTCACTTATTAACTCTGGCCCTGGGGACCTCAGTCCCTTACCTTCCTCATAAGCAACCAGGGACCATAATCCAATCTCACAATGGTGATGTAAAGATCAAATGAGAGAATGATGCAAAGTACTTGCTATCTGGCAACTCTTGAGTGTTGGGTAATGGTAACTGCCTACCCTTTTCCCTTCATTCCTTAGAAATTAAATCAACATGCACATATTGGACATTTACTATGTGCTATATATTCAGTACACCAGCTCCTCTCAGTGATAGACCAACCGGTATAGGGTAAGTTGTGAATAGTGTTTTCCAATACTACTATTTAAAGTTATAAATTTACAGTTCATTTCATTTTCCTGTATAATAGAAAATCCCACAAATTATTCTAACAAAGATGCCTCTCAGGTGTAGACATGCCAGGGATGAACAAGAAGAGTGTCACACTCATGGATGTCATGGTCGTGTGCATTCCCAAGAGCCAGTTTTCACCAGGGCTGCAACATGGCATGCAGCCTCACCCATGCAGCTGAGATGGGGAGCAAGGAGTCTTTAAAATTTCAGGGTGCTTCCATGTAGAAGATGTTTGCTTTAGAGCAAAAGATTCTGGTCCCAAGAACCCCTCAGAGCCCAGAGGCCCTGGCCCTGTGTATCCCACTTCTGGTGATGCAGCGTGAGAGGGCACAAGAGAGATGCATAGACACTCCAAAGTTTATGCAACAGTCCATCTTTCCAAAGGCCACATATGTTTCTCTTTTATGCCTGTGCTTTATGCCTTAATTTGATCATTTCCATGGGTCCTGTCCTTGTCTCTTTGTCACTCTCTACTTTTACTATGTTTAAAAGTTATTGGAAAAAATATAAAGAAAACTACCTAACATGAAACATAGGAAACAAAAGCGGCTGGGTCAAAATACCTAAAATGGAAGGATGCTTAAATAAGAACCATATAAAACAGACACAATAATCTGAAAATATACATCAGACTTTGGTGGGATAGCTACAATAGCTGTTTCAAAACTTGATTGTTTCTGTTTATTTAATTTTGATTTTTTGATTTTTCAAAGCCTGAATCTGTGATTCCTTGACCTTCTTAAGCTCATGTTTAAAATGTGCATGCGTGTGTGTAAGATTAGGTATTGCAGTCTCCTTTCTTTCTCTCTTCCTCCTTCCCCCCTTCTCCCTCCCTCCCTCCTTCCCTCCCTCCCTCCTTCCTTCCTTCCCTCCCTCTCTTTCATCCTTCCTTCCTTCCTTCCTTCCTTTCTTCCAGCATTTTGTGTTCCAGCAAGGCTCTGAGTGGGAGTGCCCATCCATATGACTCCCCGCTGCCATCATCATTTGCAGTGGTGAGCCCCTGAGCTTTCACCACAGCTGGAGGGACCCTAAAAGGGCCACCACACCCCTGTGGGGAAACCACATGAGAAGTGAAATCTTTAGCATGAGATAGGCTTCTAGAAAAAAGGGGATTACAGGACTAAAGCACAGCCTGGATTTTTCACAAGCCTGGGGTTTGGACATGTGTTTGTTTGCAGGAAATACAGATCGAGCCATTAGAGCTGCTGATGCATCTGAGAACAAGCACTGAAAAGGAGCCATACAGGTGAGGACCAAGAAGGGCCAGATGCAGTACTGCACCAGGATCTCGTCTGCTTTTTTTGGGAGAGCAGTGTCCAAAAAGCACTGGGGCTCTCTACGAGATAATGAAGTACTATCTTTATCTCCTCGTCTTCCCAGATCACACCCCACCCCTTCCTAACTCCAATCTAGTTTAAAAGAAAAATAACAATAAGATCCAGAGGCATCATCCCAAACAACTGTCAGCTCCAGCACAAAGGCGAGAGAAGTTTCCAGTTATACTTGCCATTCCTGAGTGAACATTTTAGGCATCTCCTCGGCAGCCCAGGGAATTTTTCTTTCCCTATGGACTGTTAAGCTCCTTTTTTCAAAGCATCTCAGAGTATTTAAAGATGAACAATTAAGTAAAAATCAGAGATCAGTGGATTGGCATACAGTTAGTATTTCAGAGGCCAGAATAAAATCCAAAACCCACTGCTCAAATAAATGAGTGGTCTCCATTCTGTGGGGACAAAACAAAAGCAACTTAACTCATTAAAATTGACCTCAGGATCTAAGAAAATGTTCTCTGCCCTTCACTCTCCCATTCATGGTTTCCTACCTTTCAAAGGTGAATTTTTTCCTAAGGTTCTGTCTCTCTTTTCCTGTCTTGGTCTCTTGCCCCTAACCCTTTTTCTTTCTTTTTCTTTTCTGTGTCTCTTTTTTATGTCTCCTTATTTACTCTGCCTCTCTACCTTTTTATCTTTCTGAGTTTCTTTCATATCTCCCTAACTCCTTCTGCTTTAACAGACCATAATATGAAATTGGATTCTATTTTTAAATATTTATGAATAAATTTGTATATCCTCTATTCTTAATGTTTAATTCAAGTGAGTTGAAGAGTTTAATTCTCTCTGTGCTAATTACACATTAATCACTTCCGTGTTAGGTTGTTGAAAAGACTTACAGGCTTTAGACAGGTCACACTGGTGACAGAGCTTTAATGTCAGCAAGCGGTATGACACTGCAACAGCGGGAGTAAGATATGCGCTGGAAGGGGCCAGAGATCTCTGCCTCGACCTTCTGTGTCCCTCCACCTTTGGGCCCCATAGAACAAGCTTTGTATCCAGTTCTCAGATCCCCACCAGGATGTGTGCAAACTCCTCCATCCCAGGAAGTCTCAGCTCTCCTGGTGTTGGCTTCTCTTACAGTGATGCTTACGTAGGTACATTCCAGCTACCTGACCTCCTTGACCATCAAAACCTTCAGCTTGACTACAACCGAGAGCTAGGCGTGAATCCCATCCCTCTCAGTCAGACGGGCTGGTGCACCTGCCCCCAAACTCACAGACCCATGGTGGCAAAGCAACGTTAATCTCCAGGTCACACGTTTAGTTAGTACATTTAGCAGTTCTGATCAGTGCAGCTCTAGGAGCCTGTAGATAAGTATTTGGTCAACTCAAGTCTTACTGAGAGTAGCCCATACTAAGCACTCTTTCTCTTAAAAACAAAATCCTACTAAACTGCTCTACTTCATATTTAAGCTGGAAGCAAATGGCTCTTTGCTCTGAGTATGAAGTCATTGTTTTCAGAATAGATTCCCCCAAGACCGGTTTAAACAAAATGGAAGGGATGGGCTGCCGCGGGCTGGTCGTCCTCCCTCTGGCAAGCCTCCTTCTCAGCCCTCACCTTCCACTTCATCTCCTGGATGGCCCTTTCCACCTCCTCCAGGGCTCGCTCTCTCCTCTCCACGGCCTTTTCCCGCCATTCCACTGCGCGCTCCCTCCTGAGCACGTCCTTCTCCCTCTGGCTGGCCCACAAAGCCAGAGCCCCCACCTGCTCCAGGAGCCTGGCCCAGTCACCCTCAATGCCCACGGGGAGCTGGGCCCCTTGGGGCCTAGGGTCCTGGCGCTGCCCTGCCTGGCTGTGGCCACTCTTCTCCAGCTCCTCTCTGTGCATGCTTTTCAGGTGCTTCCACAGGGCTGTGGTGCCCACATTAACCCCAGGGCCACGGCTTACCTGCCTGCCACACAGGCGGCAGGTGGCATATTGGTTGGGGTGGTGCCCCACACGAACTGGGGCCAGGTGGAAGTACTCCCATGCCTCAGAAAACCGGCTCCCCTTGTTGTGGGGCACAGGGGTGGGCATGGCACCTGCCAAAGGTTCTCGCCTCTCACTGGTCTCCTGCTCCTCCTTCATGTGTAAGTCCCCTTTTGCCTTCATCCTTGTTTCCTCCTCTTCCTCCTCTTCCCGCCTCATCCTATGTCCTCTACAGCTTTCCTTGACCCAAAGATCTTAATTAAAGCACAGCTAAGGCAAAGGAGTACTTGGGAAGGGATGATGGGGATTTCGCAATTAAGGCCAAAAGCTGTGCCCGTCTGAATGCTGTGATGTTTCCTCCTTTCTGCTTCACTGGAGAGTCAGGGTGAGTCAGAGCCAAGCAAAACGGCCTTGGAGGCTCTTGTGCACACCTCCCTCCTTGCCCCAGATGCACAGCGATCCCTCCTTGGCTGCACCAGAAAGATGAAACAAATGAGTCCAGCAATTACAAAGCTCTTCAATGAGCTCAGTGTTCTCTATGGCAGCCACCACCAGGAGTGTTATTGAACATTTTAGATTTTCTCTTGATGCTCCTCCTGGCTGCTTCCACTATTTCTGTGCTTCCGGATACAAATAAAATGGGCTCTGAAGACAGAAGGAGCAGCCTCAGGGTTCAGGCTGTTCGGGAGCCCCAGGGCTGGGGCCTCACCGGGTCTTCCTTGGTGTTGGTAGAAGCAGGCATGGGCAGACGCTGCTGTGGGAGAGACTCGTGCTTTCTAAGAACTGTTGCCACAAGCAGTCCCGAGGCTACAAAGCCTGCCAGGGGCTGGGAACTGAAGTTCTCAGTAGGAGGTCAGCTTGTCCCTAGAGAGGTCCATATAGTGCTGGGATCCTACGAAATCTGAGCAGCTGGCTTAGCTGTTTTCAGCAAGAGGAGCCAGCATGCACGGAGGAGAGGAAGGTGGAGCACATCTGCACACACTGGGTGTCGCCTGGTTGTCCTTGGCAAGCAGTCACCACGTTTCACCTTCCCTGGCACGTCACCTGCAAAGCCGACAACAGGTAAGACCTCCCTGACAGCGGCTCACTCCAGATGGTTGGCTCAGTTATCCCATTTTAAGATATATAAGTAAATGGGAAATTATGTTACATTTTTAAACAGTCTGACTTCTCTCTTTTTCCTTGGGACATTTCTTAAGTGACTGAGAGTTATTCATCAAGCTTTGCAACCCCAAACGGTAGCACACCTCCCCCAGCCCCAAGTGGGTACTTACAGCAAGCAGGGCTCTGGATGGTGGTGGCTCCCGCCCAGGGTGAGCCGCCCGCGTGCCTCCAGAGCTGTGCGCTGACTCCTGCTCCCAGGAGGAGGGCACCTCCAGTTCCGGTTCCTCCCATTTCCAGGGAAGCCTTATTGCCAAGTGGGTGTGTCCCCGCTTGTCGGGTTTTTCTGCAACACAGACACAAATGCAAAATTTTTCTCCCTCCCCCTCTACCCCTCAAATAAGATGTTCCTGGCAAGCGTTGTGTAGTAAAACAGTAATTCAAGCACCTACAAGTTTTAGTTCTGTTTCCAGATGACTAGATCATGGGCCTCTCAAGCAGAGAGATTTAAGTGGAGGGGGGCGGGTGAAAGAGGGGCAGAGAAACCACAGGTCTCAAGAATGTCTGTGACTTCAAATATTTTGTTCAATTGTCAGACCCAGAGTCTGAAGTTTTGGTTTTGGAAAATCAAAGGCTGAAGAATTTACAGCAAGGGGAAGATTCAGGGAAAAGAAATCCCCCAAATTTAAAAAAATAGGGCAAATTGAGAAACAGATTTGGGGGTCACTTTTATTGTATCATATACTTAGAATTGGAAAAGCAGGAGGGCTATCAGCTTCTACTCTCAGCTGGACTGAAACAAAGGGATAATCACAACTTAAGAAAAAAAAATATTTACATGTATACTATAAATATATTGAACTTCGGGAAGGAAAACCTCCCAAGAGGAGACAGGAACATTTTAAAGAAGGTATTTGTGGAAGAAAAACCCTTGAATTATGGGAGAAAAGACAGAAATGGCAGAGTAGAAAACATGTAGAAACAGAAAGTTACATTTCAAATGAAAAAAAAAAGGGGATGAGAAGGAAAGACTCCAAGTAGAAATGAAAAATAAATGAAGAGTCAGTCAGCAAGTAAGGAAACCTTTTTTTTTTTAATGATTTCTCTTTCTAGACTAAAAAGTTAAATTTTATCAAAATGATTCTATTAAAATCCCTTTGGAAAATGTTGTGTCCTAACAGGCAAACTGAATATGGTCCCCATTTCAGTGTTTCACCATTTCTGAGGAGCTCAGGAAATGATCAGCCTTCCAGCCAGGTCTGGGTTCCTTTTTCCTGCCTCATCAGTCTCCTCATGCTCCAGTGGTCCACTGGCCTCCCTCTGCTTCCAGGGCAACCTACCCAACTCACACGTAGGCTTAAGAATGCAACCCACCTACCCATCTGTGTGGATTCCCCACAACTTCCTGCCATACCACCTGTAGAATCCATCTTTTCTGTCCACAAAATAGAGCTCTGTTCTTAAGTTATTACCTGCTGTGCATGCCTACAGAACTGTCCAAATACTTTTCAGCACTTACTGTGTAATTCTTTGTGCTTTTGCATACTTATTCCATGTGTACTTAGAATAATGTATTGGAGAAACCAGTTATTTGGCTTGTCTTTCAGATGCAACAGGCACACAAAGAGTGAGGGAGTGATTCTGACTTCTCAGCAGAGGAATGTGTGTGTGTGTGTGTGTGTGTACACAAGCACACTTGTGTGTGTGTGCACATAGACTCATACATATTTTTACTTCATATTTTTTTCAAATTTAACACAGTTTTCTTCTTAATCATGTGGAAATTCCCGAATAAAGATAGCTCATCTTGCTCAGCAAAACCATATAAACTTGACGTTTCATAACAAGTTTGACTTCAATTTAAAGTAATTTAGTCTGCAACTTTTTGATTTTAGAGAGACTGGGAGGAGTTTCAGGAAAAGAACCATGTTTCTAAACAAAATGCTGGGACACAGTCTGGAGATGGTTTAGAATATTTAATGTTTAAATCATTCCATAAAATCTGAAATTAGAGGATCTGCAGGAGTTTATTTATTTTTTTTACATTTTTATTAAATTGACAAGAGATTTCTTCAGTAAGCCAGTTACCTTTATAAAAGAATGGAACCCCTCCTTGTTCCTGACATTACCATATTGTCATCTTTTGGTGGGTTAACTGAGATGAAGAAAATGGATCATGAGAGTGGTTAAAGGTATCAGCATTAATACAAACCTTTATACCTTTTCTTAAAATATTTTATTCCCTACAACTCTTACATTCCTTCAGGACGACTTGGAGATAAACACCAGTCTTTGGACTTTTATTGGATTAGATAAACTGGATTTTCTCTACTTAATAGGAATATATTTTAGGGGACCTGGTTTTACTTTTATTTTCTAGGACAAAAAGGGACAATTTCATGGATCTGCATTCTTACCACACACATGTATGCCCATTGGCAAGTGCTGAATGAGTGGGGAAACCGGCAGCTGCCCTGTTTTCTACCTACTGTTTTGGAGATGACAGATAGCCTTCTCTGAATGTCTCATGATTTCTTTGAGGTTTTTGCAATGATGTACAGAGGGTGGTTAGACTGCAGGTCGGTAGTATCTCATCAGAAAAATGTTACTTAGTACCTTTAGGTTGGATTTCTCAGCTCCCCTCAGGACCAGATTGGGTGTAACTCCTCTGTGGGGAAATTAACACACCAAGCATTACAGGCAGGACAGTATTCTTTACTAGTTAACTAGTATATTCATCAAATGTGGAAAATATTTGAGAAATAAAACAAGGGCCATTCATCTATGAAACACACACAACTCTTGATGAGAAAACAAGTAACTGTAAATAGGATTATAATTTCTCAGTATCGCAGATGAAGTCATGAGCATCCAATAGTTTTATTAGATATCTTCACCAAGCTGTTGAAAAACTACTTCATGAAGAGTACAGTGTTGGAAATAAAACATAACTACCCCTAGCAATAAGCTTTCTGGCTTTGTAACATAAACTACTTGTTCTGCTTGTTCTGTTTCTTTATTTCAATACAATGTGTTTTACCAAGAAATATCTTGGATTGAGATTGAAGTAAACATGATTCTCAATTGTGCCATCAACTTCTCTCCACTCCCTTTAACCTCTGCAGTGCTGGGCCTTGGTTTCCTCTCCTGTCAAGTGGCACTAATAAGGCATGTCCTACCTCCCCTATCAGGTCATAAAGATGATAAATGAAAATTAATTAGGAAAACTCTTTACCAGTCAAAAGTGAGATACTTACATGGTTTGTGTGCTGGTGGTTACAAATGTACGTTACATTATTTGGGGAATGGAAACAGCGAAAATCTGGATCTCTTGTAGCTTTTAGTCTAAGAACATTCTTCTCTAGCCTCTGCCTGTTATATGCTTCTTTCTTCTATCCTTTGGTTTCCAGTTGTGATTTCCCTTTTCCAGAACCTGGCATTGAGACTTCCAACTTTATAATAGAGTCCTAGACTCTTCTTAAGTTAACCTAGGAGTCTAGCCATTAATTTATAACACCTCTATAGGAGATAGCTTATTTATAGTTCACATTGTCACACCACCTCTTAAAGGTAAACATTGCCTTGTTAAAAGTGGAGTTCACAATTTTCACACCATGTCTTAAAGGTAAACACTGCCTTGTTAAAAGTGGAGAAAACAATCTTCCGCTATTTGCCTTATGTGAGGGTTGGTGGAGATGTAAGGACCACCTGTTTCTTCTGAATTTGCAGAAAATCTTTTCTGTGTACTGTCTTTACTCCCAGAGAACATCTACCTGCTCTTTGAGGAAGTATTTCCCACAGAAAATCTCACATGGTTTATAGATACAAGCTTTCCTCAAGGTGAAGAGAAGGTAAGCAAATCAATCATTGGAAACAGGTTTGTCAAAGAAAGAAAACAAAAACAATAGAAATTGCTGTTGCCCATGTTGATCTTGGCTTTTAAAAACAAGTCTTCTTCCAATAAAAACATCATCTTGCCCACCAGATGCCATTTTCTGAGACCTCCTCTGACCCCTCTGAGGGAATGGTGAGTAACACTTTCATGAATGTGAGAAATACAGTTCATTTCATCAGCTCATATATAAACACTATGTTTCATTTAACTATTAGGAAAAACAGATTTCTTGTGTGAGGGAAAAAATGCTTAATTTAACATATATTTATTAATAAATTTAATTTAGTTCAATTACCTTAGCGCCATTGCTTTAAATAAACAAGTAATTTCTACTTTTTCTTGTAAGGAATTGGGTGGGGTGAGGTCTGAGGGATGGAACAGAGGAAGTGAACATAAAGGACTTGGATCCATGACAAGGAACATGTGCACAAGGAGGATTAAAAGTTCCTGGAGCAGGAACACTCTGAGACAAGCTCAGGTGAGAATGCACAAAGCCATATTTCTCATAGGTGGTAAACACGACAGCCTCTGCCAGAACAATCCCTAGCCAACCCCCTGCCTGGGAAAACAGCCCTTTTCCTTTGTCCTGAGTCATTGTTCCTCAAAGTTCAGTATATTTGCAAGAGTAACTGAGTCACATAGCTCCTGCTGCATTATTATTTTTAACTGATAAAATAAAAAGTTGATGAATGATTACATTGATCTTCTCAATTTATTTTGAGACTTTTATTATTGGTTTTGTTATTAGTTCACTTTACCAACAATTTACCCACAATAATGACAGGGTTCAATCCTGAAAATATCTATTAGAGGTCATTACAGGTATGTTCTCCTGTTAAATAAGCCCTGATTTGATATGCCCATTCTCCTCCCAACCTCAAAGCCAGACAGGGAGTCAGAATCCTATCAGCATACAATTGCTTTTAGTTGTATTACTTGCCAAAGTAGCAACTTCAGAACATTTAATGCAAAAAAGCCATGCGAATTCAGAAAGGACTGGCCTATGATGACAGCTAGTTTTACCTTGATTTTCCTGCTGCCATGTATGCTATTTAGAGGTTGTACTAACACTGGCATGTAAACAGAGTTCTATTTCTAAAGAAGACTCATGGAGCCTATAATGACAATAGTTATAAATCTCCAGGGAAAGGATATAATATAGCAACAACACTAAAGTAAGGCTGTACATCACACATATTCATTTACAGCAAGGGGTCCAGCAAAGTCTGGAATTGGACTCCTTTGTCCACCCTCTGTTTGGACGACCTTGTAAGGAGGAGCCACTGACATGACACAAAACACCTCAGAATTGGGAAGCCCAAAAAGGAACCTGGGCGGAGGTTGTTTTATATTTTACTGGTCACTTAGGGATAGTCCTGCTATGTGCCCAGACTTGACAGCAGAGCCCTCCTGGGTTCTTGCCAAGGTCGGGTACAAATCATCAGTCTCACCACGATCAGTAAACAATGCTGGTAAACTGGAACAAGCTGCCCCCAGATTCCTTGGACCAGTGGTCACAAACAAAGCAACACTATTAATCAATACATTTAATTCCTTGGCCATGGATCAGTGCTGTGTAGGAGCTTGAACAAAACAGTTTCAGGTTAATTGCAAGCCTGCTGGAACAAACCGTAACTGCACAGAAGCCACAGTTTGATCACTTTTGACTCTATATTACCACAAACCAGACTGTCTTTGGCCATGCTTGGCGTCATTGTATGGCTCATACAGAAAACGCTGCTGACTAATCTTGTTCTCATCTCTCTTGTAGAAATTTACATTAGTAATGAAGAGAGAAAAGGCAAATGTGGATTTTGGAATGCAAATCTGTTTTGACAAAGGTGTATGATAACAAACTAGCCCACATAGACAACCTGACCATCTGGTGCACAGCTCTGTATCCAGCCCCCAGAAATCAAGTGTGGACTATCTCATAGAAAAAGATCACTTTTTCCTTGGGTGAGTTGTCTATTTAATAAGGTCAACAAGGGGTGGCTACGACTGCCATAACTTCAGAACATTTTTAATTGTAACAAATAGAACATTCATTATTTCCATGATATTTTAATCTTAGAAAACTCCCCACACGACTCAAAATGATTAAATTGCAAAGTAGCAAAGTTTTTTGACAAATGAGACTCTAACAAAAAGAATTTCTTCAACTTAAAAAGTAACTGGTTACTGTTTCCAAGAACTTCTGGAAAATATGGCAAATTTTTTGTTCAAATTCCATTAAAAATTACTCTTAATTAACTAGCATTTTTATTAATCTCCCATATAATAAAAATTAACACTAATATATTGATGATCAGGAGAGGTTTAAAAGTCCTAAAATTTCTTAAGTTACTAAAAACATTCAATTGTATATAGCGTATATGACTTTATTCCTTAGGAATGGATAAACTATTTATGAGATATAAATAAATACCTTAAGGATGGGGAATGTGCCTTAGTGATTTTAGTTCCCTTAGTTTGAGATACAGAATCTAGCACACAAAAGATTTTTATGACTTGAAAATTTCCATATAGGATCATTCTACTTATCAAAAATATTTGATTAATCAGGATATTCACTACTCTGAACCAGATCATATAATGGAGATTTTGCTACCTAAAAATATGAAGAGATGTCTCCATTAATACAATGACAACACATAGCCTATAAAATACAGTTTGTAATGATAACTGTCAAATATGCATAGTTAACAGTAAAAAATAACTCTAAAACTTAAACAGATTTGCAAGCCATTATTACAACTCTGCAGGACCATTAATAAACTTTTACCACCTTCCTGTTTTTGGAGATACTGTAGTCTATAAAATATTCATAAAAATACAGAATAATTTATGAGTAAAAGAGTTTCCCTTTGTTTCCAGGCCACAGTCTGCATCTTAGGTGCTTCCCAGCCGTGTCACAAAAGCAGGCAGTTGATTCCCGGGAACCTCAGATGGAGAAGGCTCAGTGCAAATCCATACCCACTATTCAGAAGCAGGTGCCATTCTGATACTGGGACAGTGGCATCATCTGTACAACTAACTGCCTGTGTGTATGTATATGTATCATATATAAGCGAACATGTTGTCCTGTGAACTTTGAGTTGGTTGTTCAGAAATGGTCACAGGTTTACACTGAACCATCCTATTCAACCTGGCCTAGTTCCCTAAGAATAAGTGCACCTACCTTCTACAAAGCTGCACATGGTTAGGGCTGCAGTCTTGGAGCAGTATAAAGGTAACTGGTTCTCATACAGATTTGCCACTAGCTTTGGCAGAATCTAACGACATGAGTTTAAAAACCAAACAACTTCAAATTCCTAGGAGAACCTTATTCCCATCATAAACACAACCATGTTTAAATAATCAATATTTTCTGATGCTAAAACTGTGCTTATTTTTTTGTTGTTGTTTGTTTAAAGACTTAATTTTTTTTTTAGAGTAGTTTTAGGTTCATAGCAAAATTAAGAGGAAAGAAAGTACAGAGATTTCCCATATACCCTCCCCACACACAAGCACAGCCTCCCCCATTATCAACATCTCTCATCAGAATGGTTCATTTGCTATAATTGATGAACCTACATTCACACTTTGAGTGACCGTGATCATAATTTCATGATCACTCAAGTTCCACTCTTAGTATTGTACATTCTATGGGTTTAGACAAATGCATAATGACACGTGCTCATCACTATAATATCATACAGCCTTAAATTTTCACTGCCCTAAAAATCCTCTATGCTCTGCTATTCTTCCCTTCCCCTCACTCCCAACCCCAGGCAACCACTGAGCTTTTTTATTGTCTCTATAATTTTGTCTTTTCAGAATGTCATATAGTTGGAATCATACTATATGTAGCCTTTTCAGATTGGCTTCTTTCACTTAGTAATATGTATTTAGGATTCCTCCATGTCCATTCTTGACTTGATAGCTCTTTTTTCTTTTCAGTGCTGAATAACATTCCATTGTATGCACCACAGTTTATGTGTCCATTCACATACTGGAGGACATCTTGGCTGCTTCAAAATTTTGGCAATTATGAATAAAGCGGCTATAATCATTCACGTGCAGATTTTTGTCAGGGCATGAAGTTTCATTTCCTTTGAGTAAATACCAAAGAGCACAATTGCTGGATTGTATGGTAAGAGGAGGTTTAGTTTTGTAAAAAACCATCTAATGTCTTCCAAAGCAGCTCTACCATTTTGCATTCCCACCAGCAATACATGAGAGTTCCCGTTGCTCCTCATCCTTGACAGCATTGTCTATGTTCTGGATTTGGCCATTCTAATATAATGTCTAGTGGTATCTCATTGTTGTTTTAAACTGCGTTTCACTGATGACATATGCTGTGAAGCATCTTCTCATGTTTATTTGCCATCGGTATACCTTCTTTAGTGAGGTATCTGTTAAAAGTTTTGGGCCCACTTTTTAATCAGGTTATTTGTTTCTTACTATTGAGCTTTAAGAGTTCTTTGTATATTTTGGATAACTGTCCTGTATCAGACGTATCATTTGCTATTATTTCCCCCCACCCTGCCCCCAATCTGTGACTCATCTTCTCATTCTCTTAAACTGGGCTTGGTTTTAAGATGAGAAAATAATCCAGACTTGTAGGGTAATAAGGAAGAGCAGTGATTCTGATACCCAAAGCACACTGTAATTCCAATTTTCAGCACAGCCTTGATCTAGTGTAATTTTAGGCTCTGAGCAGATGGTTATTTTTAAGTTATCAAATGAGTTTTTATCCTTTATGATGAAATATTAAAGATAATAAATTTTGAAGAGCTCAGTTTCCCAAAATTATAGCTTACATTCTGGCCACATTCTTACCATATATCTCTGTGAAAGATTTAGAAGATGCAGTTGAGACTCTACAGAGCAAGTTATCACTGTACCATATTCCTCTGTTTCTTATAAGTTTTCAAACACTTACTTCCAAACATGCTTTCTGCTCGTGGTAGTATTACTAGATGCTCTGTGAAATCTGGACTAAACTTGTGCAAACCTCACTGCCTTATCAAGCTATTATTGTTGACAGATATTGAGATGAACATACAGAAGATAATTCTGTTATCCTTGGTGCTACAATAGAGCCATTCTGAAAATACTACACGGCAGAAAGGAGACTTATTGAGATAAGGAGAGGAATCGTGCTCCTTTCTGTTCTCAGAGAAGAGTAATAATGTGAAGGGCTGCAGGACAACAGCCCTCTGCTCCCTTACCCACCTACACCCAGCCCCCATTCTCCCAACTGCTCAATGATTCTTACCCTAGAAAGCTCGGAAAGGGGAAAGGATTAAGGTGAGGGTGAGGAGTGGCTTATCAGGCAGCTAGGTGAGTACCAGATTCTAAAGACTCCCATGATTCAACAGTAATTTTTTTTTTTTAAGTTCTTTCCAAAAGTATCCCACCCTACTAGCCTAACCTATCAGAATGTCTAAAATTGTAGCACTGCAGAGTCAATTTGTGGCATGTACAGTTGGTTTTTTGCTTATTTGCTTTTTTGAGGTGGAGAGGATGTTTGTTTTGACACAAAACTTGAGTACAAATACCCACTGGCTATCATCAGCTTTGACAGAGATTTGCTTATGTGATGGATTTCCACTTGTAATGGTTGAGATCAAGACAGAGAGTAAAGGGTTTACGACTTGTGTGTGTGTTTGACTGTGTATGTGTATTTGGGATGTGGACAGAGGATCAAAAAGGGATATCTCAATAGTGAGACAAGAGAACCCCTGAATGTTGAGGTGGGATATGCTCGACAAATATTCTTATTTTGTGACTTCCCTCATACCCAGACTGAATCTGGGGATCCTGAGGCTATCAATAAAGGACTTTAATATTCATACAAATCACCTCAGGATGTTGTTAAAATGCAGATTCTGATTCAGGAAGTTGGGTGGAGGAGCAGGGCCTGAGATTCTGCATTTCTAACAAGCTCCGAAGAAAAGCCACAGACCACATTTCAGAAGCAAGGACCTAGAAAGCCCTGGGGTTTGGTTCATTTCTAGGCTGACCAGCTAAAGGGTGCTTCAAGCTCTGGGGAAGCCTTAGGATTGAGCCAGCTGCCCTGCAGGGCCAACACTTATGCCTGTGAGGATGGTCTCGAGCACCTTGCCTGGTCCTGGGCAGCAAGAAACCTGGAAGACACATTTCTGCTAAGCTCTGCCCTTGAGTTTTGAGAAATAATTTTTCCTTGTTAGGTTTTAGCCACTCCTTCATGAATCCCTGAGTTTTGTTTTGACTAAGGCAGAGTTTCTACTTTATAGCCCAATATGAAACCAGCACTTTTTTGGCCTCAGATTTCATGTTGAAAATTATGCATCATTTTCGTCACAAGGCAGAGCTCCTCTCAAAATGCAAATCTTGTAGTAACACCTTCCTAATGCCTATGAGGCCGTATGTACCAGAACCCTTCAGCTTATAAAGATATTTGGTATTGAAATATGGAAGAATAACATCCTAATGTAGAAATATTCAATAAATGAAAAATAAATCCTTCCCATTGTAGAAATCCAGGATTGAGTGTGAACTATCAACATCTTCTATATAGGTGTTGGCAAACTTTCTGTTTTTATCTGCCAGGTAGTAAATATTTTATGCCTTGGACCATATGGTCTCTACCACAATTATTCAGCTCTGCTGTTGAAGTACAAAAGCAGCTGTAAATGATAATAAAATATGGACATGGTTGTGTTCCAATAAAACTTTATTTGCAAACATAGGCATATTTATTTACAGACAGGGAGTGCATTTTCACTTATGTGCTACTTTGCCAAACTCTGTTCTAATCAATTTACAGAGAAAAACACCTATGCATGATTCTTCCAGGCTCATTCTCTATCTTATTAAGGTTACTACTCTGGAAAATGATGTTTATAATGTATCACCAGTAAGATATGTACATAAAGTTAGCCTCGTTTCTTCTAATGTTAGGAAGGAATCTACATTCACTCATCCACCTGAATCTGCCAGGAACAAGAACTGCAGTGAGGAGTAAAACAATTACTTCTCTTGAGGTGCATGCCAATGAAGAAGAGTAATAAGGCCTTTACTAGGGTAAACAGTGAGGTCTATGAGCTCATCACAAAGATCTATCCCTAGGATTCTTCAAGTCTGAGAAGGTGCACACCAGGAAGGATAGGGTGGAAAAGTATTAGGAAACAGCTTACACAAAGACCAAGAAGCCATGGAGAGCATATCGTCTTTGGGAAATTGGGTTGAAATATTACTGGTTGGGCTGAAGGGGTGACTTGAGATGTAAAAGATGATAGGTAGCATCAGGAAATAAAAGTGGGACTGTAATGGGGAATGAATCATGATCAGATTTGTACATCATGTCAAAGAGTTCAAACATGTTTCAGGTGGCATGGTGAGGAAGAGGATAGTCTTTCTGCCAATATTTCATATACTCTCTATATAACTCCCATCCCCAACCTACTCAGAGATTAATAGCTAGGAATCATTAATCCAATAGCAAGTCTAAGCCACCTGTGAGCCTTACCTATAGCCATCAGCAATAACAACGTTACCAACAGTGAGAACAAAACATAGATTACAGAAACAAATTCCTCCCAATGTTGTCATGTGTTATCAAGTAACATAAATAACATATACCTTTCCCTGAAAGTAAATTACAAAACAGAACCACCGTGTAATTTATAATTAAATCTCCACATAATTGCCACAGTTCATCATATGTGTGACAATATACCCACTGCCATGATACCTTGAAAATTACAAAGTCTCCCAGTCTCAAAATCACTTAACCATGTTTAACCCCCATGTTCCTAAAGTCAATAGATCCTTTCGGTACTTTTAAATCATTTTGTACAGCTAATAGACTATTTTTACACTACAAAAGGAGAGGCTTTAAGGAATTATGTAAATGTATAAGATAAGTATATCATTGACATAAATGTATAAACTGTATAAAACAATATATTCCAGCCTCTCTTTCATCCCAACTCCCCACCCCACATGCACCAACAGAAAAGTTAGAGCTAAATAAAAAAAATTATGACAAAAAAAGGTGTTTTAGAAAAAGCAATATTAATACCATCACTCTTAGGTTCATTGATGTTATATCCAATTGGATAACTGGATCATTTTTGCTGATAAAAAAATGTTTGGGGGACTTAATAGATTTGTAAACTATATGGTTACTTTTTGAATATTTCAAAATAGTAGCTCTTATTGTTTTAGCAGGTCTTGGTTAAATGTCACTTCCACCAGGAAGCTATCCCTGACCTTCTAGTCATGGTGGGTACTCTTCCTTTGCAACCCAATGACACCTGTACTTTGACTATCACAGCACTCAACATGCTGCCTGGCTACTACCTATTATCTAGGTAGGTAGTGCTTAAACATAGCCCATGTCTTTCTCCTTCAGCATTTTATATCCTACTGCCTTGTACATAACAGGCCTTCAATCATGATTTGTTAAATGAATAAATAAAGTTGGAGGGGAACTATGTCAATACTTTATCTTTCTACTACAATGTTTCATTCATTGTCAATGTCTGTTTCTTACTTTCAGTCTCAGCAAACCTTCCAACAGGTCCTCCACTCGATGTACCCAAATCTACGCTTGCCACCCAACCTTCCCCAGCCACCATCCTATCTCCCACAAGTAAGAATGTTTTTAGACTATTTTACTTTGCATGAGTTATTCGCCCTTTAACCAAGCAGAGCAATGAGAAAATGTTTTCAGAAAATTTGTATAAATCATGGCTTTTTCTTATCTATGAAATTTTAGGCAAACACGTTAAGTCCTGTTCCCATGGCTTTAAAGAGTTAACACAGCTTCCAGAGCCCTCCACTTGAAGCCTTGGCAAAATCAGAGTCAATTAATGTTCAGTGAGAAATTTAAGTTCTTTATATATTTATTATTAAATAGGTTAGTAAATTGACAGTCATCCTCCACAACTGTGTTCTCAGTAGAATGTTTAAGAAATTGGTTGTAATGGGGAACCTGTGGGCCAGAGGTAGTTAGATAGTTTTAAGTTTAAATTTGTTCTGGTTCAAATTAATTTTGACAAAATTGACTGGTAAGGACTGTAAATTCAGCCTTTCAGTGGCATTATTACTAATGGAGGTCAGGCTGGGTCAGTGTTAGTACAGCACAGGGATACCAGTGACTTTCAGAAGGTGGTATAGATGTAAACAAATCATAAATTCCCATGTCCATGGCCTTTGTGTTTAACAAAGAACCAAAGTGACTTTCTCTAATACAAAAAAACTGTATATTCCATGTAGAAGTACAGTTCTCATTTCTTAATTAAAACTATCAATTTCTGCTTAGAATGGGAACTGAAAATGGGATAAAATGAAAGCATTCAGTAGGAATGACCAATCCCTTTAGCCTGTCACTCTTTAGCATATAGCCTGCGGTGACTGTCACAGGCTGATACCTCTTAGAAAATGAAGCATGTGGCAGGGTGAGAAATGCCTGCTAATCAGCCAGAAGAGGTTATATATCCATCTGATTTTTCCTAGTTCTTAACGTTTTATAATTTTCATTCTTTTTTTAGGCCTCTTCTACTTCTAGCTCATCATTCAGCAATAAACCATAGTTGATTGTGAAATTCTTCTTCAACAAATATTAGCATATTCAAAAATAATACCTTAAATCTCTTTCATCTTCTATGTATTAGTTATCCATTGCTGCATGACAAAGCACCGTAAAACTCAGCAACATATACTGTCTTACATGATTTGGGTGTTCAGAAATCCAGGAGTAGCTTAGCTAGTTTGGAGTGGCTCATATTCCTTCACGAGGTTGTAGTCAAGCTGCTGGATGACATTTCAGTTAGCTGAAGGCTTGCCTGGGACTTGAGAGTCCTGCTTCCAAGCTCCAACATGTTGGCAAAAGGCCTCAGTTCCTCACCACATAGGACTGCTCAGAATATGGCTGCTGCCTTTTCCCTACCAAGTAATTCAAGAAATAGAGTGACAGGACAAAAACCCCACTGACTTGTTTATGATCTGGTCTCCAAAATTGCAAACCATTATTCTGCTTTATTGTTAAAAGTGAGTCGTGAAGTCCAGCTCATACTCAAGGAGGAGAATTAGGCCCCACTTCTTAATGGGAAGAGCAGCAAAGAATTTGTGGACAAATTAAAACCTGCCCTGTCATTTAGAAAATGTTTGCACACAATACACAATGTGGTCTGATCTTCTTTAGTATGAGATGTAGACAGAGTAAGCATTATCATGCCCATTTCTGGAGGTGGACACTGAAATATCAAGAACTTAAATGATCACACAGCAAGCAAGTGGCAAAGTTAGTGTGAACACCAGAGTCATCTGGCTCTAAATCTTGTTCTCACCACATAAGATACCAGTTTTCTCCAAATGTTCTAAACACTTCATGAGGACAGGGCCCACAATTTTTTCCCTGCTAACACATGCTTAGCACAGGGTAGGCACACAAAAAATATTAGTTGAATAAATGAATAAGTAAAAGAATTAATGAGAATAGTGTTCCTTCGTTATGTAGATGATATTTAATAGACTATGGTGTTGAAAAAAGATAATTTGTTTCTACCTTCAAAAAGGTTGCAGCATACTTGGAGATGACATGCATTCATGTACATAATAATTCAAAATACTAAGGTGAAAGGTGCATCTCATGGAGTTAAAATGCTTAGGGAGAGGTACAGGCCAGAAACTCTTAGGCTTTGAGAAAGAAAAGGTCTCTCTGGGTTCATGGAGTCAGGAAACATTACCAATGGGAGATAAAATAATGTGACCCTTGAAGCATGCACTGTATTTATTTGACCAGTTGAGAGCTTGAAAAAACACTCTAAACAAAGAGAACAAAAGTGAGCAATTGTTTATTGACCAAGATGTCCATGGGAATTTGAGAGAATATTAGTAGATAAGCTTGGGTCAGAGAAGTGGGATTGTGTAGCAGAGAATCAGGGAAGAAGACTGGAAAATGCAGAATACAGAGAGACTTAAATGCCAGGCTAAGAATTCTAAATGCTCTCCTTTAGGAAATGGGGCAGGGATCCCACTAAATATTTGTTCAGAAAGGGTGTGACATAATTCATTCACCAAATATTTATTGAGCATTTAACATGTACCAGGTACTCCTCTAGGTCCTGAGAATACAATGAACAAAAGAGAAAAAAATATGCCCTCATGACATTTACATTCTGGCAGTTGAAAGCAGAAATGAATTGCTTCTAGCCAAGTTTTCTATGGAGTTACTTGACATACATTACTCATCTTCATCAATAAGATACCATTCTTATTTCTGTGAAGAAATTCAAGTAAAGGGAAAGGCACTACCCTTAAGGAGCCTACAACCAACCTTCTATAATTCTAGTATTAGAGAGAGAAAGAGGGTGCAGTCTAATAAATATATTTGTTAAAAAGCAGGGAAAAATTTGTCATCTGATCTACTATCACACTAAGATGATATAGTTGGGAAATTTCAGAAGAACCAGAAGACCTCCTTAAAATAATATCCCTCTGCACTGGGCCTCCAGATTGTTGTACATCAGTGGCTCCCCCAGGGTAGTTTTGTCCTCTGTCCCTCAGGGGCATTTGGCAGTGTCCGGGACATTTTTGGTTGTGGCAGTGGGTGGGGGGATGGTGGGCAGGGCACTACTAGCATCTGGTATGTAGAGGCCAAGGGTACTCCTAACTGAACAACACAGGACAAGCAGCCTCCACAACAAAGAACTGTCTGGTCCAAAATGCCAGTAGTGCCGAGATTGGGAACCCTGGTTTAAATCAAGGCTCGAGTATGATAAGAGAAGCTATTCCTCACTTCATAAAATATGGCCCTCTGTCAAGATAGTAACAATAGATTATGTTTAGAACTATTTTCAGTCTGATTTTTATATGTCAAAAAGGCATGTTAAATCAGTGGTTGATCATATTTAAATAAAACTTATCTTTTTAGAAACACTAAATTACAACTAAAAAAATCCAAATTTACTCTTGGCAATATGGAGGGTAATTATGAAATCACATGATGACTGACTTCCTCAGAAGCTGGTAGGATTCACCCCTGTGTGTTCTTCTAAGAAAGGAAACAAGATGGAACATGTCGTGGAGACCAACTTCAAAAGGCTATGGTTTCTTTCCAAATTCCAAGATTTAATGAGCTATATAATTCAGTCATAATTATTAAGCTACATATCTTACTGCAAACATCTACTTCATATTCTTTTCCCTCGATGAAAGGATAATTTTTAAACAAACAGAGAAGTAATGGAAACAACATACTTTCCAAAGTAGAGGAGAACCTTATAACTCATGAACTGCAAGAGTGACCCAGGAGAGCCCAGCTCACTCAGCCTGAACGAGTCAGGGTTTGAGTCCCAGCTGCATTCACCACCCCGTCCAAGGGAAAGACATGAGGCTGACAAGCTAAGTGGGGAGAGGAGACAAGCCCACATGGGACACTCAGAGACACCTGACAAACCTAGGGTGCGGCCACACGGGCATAACTCAGGAGCTTCAACAGCCTGAGCAGAGCTCTAAGCCTTCTGACTCACCAGCTATGCATTGGCTACAAGGTATGCAGCATAAGACAGCAGGCCTCTGAAATGCCAGCCCAGTTGAGGCAATCATCCATACACTGATTCAGCAAATAAATATTGAGCACATACAACGTGTCAGCAATTTCTGAGGTGCTGGAATACAGAGAAGATCTAGATAGGCAGGGCCCCGGTTACACGGGGCTTATCATCTATTAGGACCCACTTGCTCAGCCTCCCATTTCACTGCCCACCAGGCCACAGACCTTTGGTTCTGCCTCCTATTTTTATGTTTGTGCATATGATGACGTTGGTTCTGATATTAAGCTTTCTCTAAGAATTTAGCTGGTCCTAGCAGTCTGGATCCTTTTACTCTTGGACACTGTGAGGAAAATACAGGCCTAGTCCGACTCTAACCATCAACCGGCAATCTAGGTGAATGTACCTGATCCTTGGTGAGTGACGGATAGGACACTGAAGGTACAGACTTAAAAGGAACAGCTGATGTGTGAGAACACATTTCAGACTGGGTGAGGGTGGAAGATATGCCATTGGGTACAATTAGTCAAATACAAATCACAGGGGGAAGCAGGTAAGACCAGCGGCAGGTCAGGATACTGGGTTCTCAAATGAAGAGGAACCCAGGAGGAGTCCACAGGGCAGCGAGAATCTGGTGATTTGCCTGTGATAGTAACTTCTGACCCCTTTGCCGGTCATACCAAACTGGCATTAAAGTGTCAGAATATCTCTGTTGCTGTTGGATAGCTTCTGCCTTGATCTTATGTATCCAGGCTCTGAAGAGGAAGAAAAGTGAGTGCTGGGGGCAGGGATCAGGAAAGTCTGCACAGGGGGTCTGGAAGGAAACATAGGCTCAGATGGAAGAAAGATGAGAGATGGATCCTCAGTCATCTTGAGCAAATACATAAAATAAAATGAGTGTAGGACATGAGAAGACAAGCAGGTTGAGGGCTGGCAGGGAGGGGCCTCCTTGGGGAGGGTGCAGCGAGGTTGCTTAGGGGAGGTGAAACCGGGGAAGGTGAGCTTAAGTTAATGGGCTGTGGATTTGGGCTGTGATCTGAACATCAACAAACAGCCACTGTGGCTTTTTGAGTATGTGAATAATGTGTGTGAAACAGAAGTGATGTATATGGTCAGTGGTGACAGCAAGAACAGGGAGCAAGAAGACCAAATTATGCACATTTTAAGTGATTTAAAGTGATGCCTGTCTGAACTGGAATGGGCATATGTAGAAATAGAGATTCCTATGACAGAAGGCTCAGCAGGGTTTTCTGCCTAACTATGGGAGATAAAAGATTTTTAGAAGACACATACAAGGGCCTTCCATGTTATTTTTTCCTAGTAATTACCTAAAATTTTTTACTAACTGCCGTAATACTAAGCAATAATGTTAATAGTACTTATTCATATTTGAGTGCCTATGATGTGCCCAGCACTGTTCTCAACTAGTAAGTGTATTATCTCATTTAATC